GACAGGTAGATCAGGATCAATCACCTTCGTCTCGGTTCCACACAGCCAGCACTCTGAAGATGAAGGCGCTGAAGGTGGCAGCAAAGAATCCTCTCCAGTAGTTCCTCACAGCGAAGAAGGTGGAAGTTACTTCGATGCTGAAGAGCACACCTGTAACATCAGGAGGGAACACTGACTTCCTCATGTTCCTGAAGACACGCCTCTGATCATGACTTTAACCTCAACATGCTTTCCATCAGTTACCATCAGAAACAGGATTCCTGTATCTAAATGATGATCATGTTTGTAAATCTTTTACTTCTAGATCTATGGATTATGATATTTCCCAGGAACATTTGGTGAATGTCTGTTTTTTATTTCCGTCATCCTTATCTGGAGACTAACCTCCGATGGGGGCGGCGAAGCAGCACCCCACTCCCACCGCACACGCTGCCGCCAGCATCTCGATGTTCCTCGACTCATTCTGGAACGCAGACACAAAACAAGCCGCATTTCACAGTTAATGACAAGAAAACTAATGAAAGACAGAAATAATTTAACATTTAGAACATTACATTACATCTGGAAAAGATTTGATCAAATCAGGTCAGTTTGATCTAAACTTTAAGGATTTCTCCTGATAATATATAAAGTGTGTTTATTCGCTCCTGCAGGATTAGGTGCATCAAGGCGCCTCCCTGCAGGAGTCTGATGACCTCCTGTTCCCAGGAGACTGAAATCCTGAGGCCTAAATCCCATCATGCTTTGCTTCCTCTGACAGCTACACAGCAAACACCTCAATAGAAGATCAAACTATGGTGCCTTGCAAAAGTATTCACCCTCTTAAAAAGTTACTTAACACAAACGGTTAAGCTTCAGTCGGCCAGGAAGCAGCGGGGCCATGAGGACCAAACCAAAGCGGGCTGATGGGAGGTTCAGCTTCTAGCAGCACAATGAGAACCTGGCCTAATCAAAGTCTAGACCAGGGCTGCAGGTTTTCAATGTTTCAATGATTCGACAAAGGAAATGAAGCAAAGCATGCTGGGAAAGGAGCAGCCGGGTTACCTTAATCCCTACTAGACCCGGCTCCTTCAGGTAGCAGAAGAGAGAGAGTTAAAGAGGCAGAGAAGAAAGGATGAGAAACACATTATGGAATCAGTTCCAACACGTCCTCCACAGAGGTGGTGGTGGCGGGTGGGGGTTGGGGGGGGCATTTAATGTTTAATCATGATGTAAGCAGCTCAGTAATTGATCTAATGTTTATGATATAAGCAGAGATGTATAAACATGCAATCAGATTGTTCAGTTTTTCACTCTAAATCTAAATCCAGGGACATGGAGACAAACGGACGGAGCTGAGGCGTCTGGATCGTTTTGCAGATCTCTGCCATTAAAGGTCCACTGATAGAAATTCACCTCATAGATTCCTCCAAACAGAGACATGAACTTGCTGAGCAGAGCAGCACACAGGCTGGCGATGTGAACGAAGGGACCCTGCAGGAGCAAACAGAAGGTGGGAGACGGTTAAACGGTACTTTGGTTTGTTCTGAGAGAAACAAAAACACATCATCAAACCACAGGATTACTGGCCAGATGATAATCTGGACTACGGATGCTGCAGGGGGGGACCTTTTACCTAATAACCAACCTAACCAACCAACTACCCGTCTACCTAACCACCAACCTAACCAACCAACTATCCACCTACCTAGCTACCAGCCTAACCAACTAACTACCCGTCTACCTAACCACCAAGGAAACCAACCAACTATCCACCTACCTAGCTA